TGGTCCTCAGGAACCAAGTTAGTGAAGATGTGACTCTTTGAAACCTAGAGATCGATGGAGCCACCCTTTGAAACCCCCGTGGCTGTGGCCCCACCTTTTAGAGAACAGAGATTGTGCAGTTACTTTGTAGACGGAGGGTACTCTTTCCCATAGTTCTTGTCTCTTGGGCTTCTGCTTCCAGATTCCTTAGCCTCTTGACTTCTTGGGTGGGCCTGGACTCTACCTTGCTTGGAATAGTGTTACACAGCTTGTCAGAGACACCTCACTCTTGCTAGTAAGCCTCCGCCCAAAGGTGCTCAGCTCTCTTGCTTGCCCCATGGGTTGGAAAGCCTAACTCCACCGATAAGCACCTGGAGGTACCCCCTCCACCAGGCATCCTCTTGACTGAAGCTACTCAGCCATCTCGCTCTGTAGGTCAGCACCCACACTGTCTTGAACCGATCTCCTGGATCTGCTGCCGATGTTTCTCTGCCACTACGTCTTGCCTTGTGTGAAGCAACATCTCGCGTGATCCCTGTCATCACTTCCTTCAGAGCCTCACTAGAATTGCCTTTGATGCCCCTAATTCCACCGAGGCAACCTGGGATGTTCCTAGTAGATACCTGAAAACTCTCCCAACTTCTACTCATTACTCAGCCCCCCAAACTGCGCCCACAGTTAGGTATCCATTAGAGCAGCCCTGGTGGTGCAGTGATTATGTGTTGGGCTGCTGACCAGAAGGTTGGCAGTGGCTCCACTGGAGAGAGTTGGGGCTTTGTATTCCCGTAAAGAGTTACAGTCTTGGACACCCACAGGGGCAGCTCTAGCCTGCCCTATAGGGTCGCTGTGACTTGGCATTGACTGGATAGCGGTGAATCTCTCTCATTAGAGGAGCACCCTATTCTTTTGGTACCAAATTCTTAGTCCTCTAGTGAGGCTGTATCAGAAATGCAAGTGGATAGCTTTAACACAAAGACATCAGTTTTCTCACAGTTCAGTAAACTGGAAGTGCTAACTTTCTAGGCACTAGCTCCAGGAGAAAGCTTTCTCTTGCCCACTCTGATGGAAGGCCCTTGGCTCCTTTAACATTTGTATGCCCAGTGTCCCTTCGAGCTCTCCTAGTGTCTTGCGATCAATCTTTCCCTGGGTGTAGAAGGTTCTCAGAATGGAGACACTGCTCCCAGTTCTTCTTTCTTGGTGGTACTGAAGTCCCTCCATCTCCACTGGTCTGTTTGATCTCTGGTTTCTCAAACAAGATTGACCAAGGATACAATGACATTCTGTAGATTTTATCCTGTTCCTTAACATAACTGCTTCTAATCCTGCTTCATTAACATCATAGTAGTTAGGATTTATAAGACATAGATTACATCACATCACAAATGGAGGATAATTCTGTATTACTGAGACCCTAGCCTAACCAAGTTGACACATAGTCTGGGGAGACACAATTCAATCCATAGCAAAGGCACCTGTGCACCTGCGCTTTCTTCGGGAACAAAGTGTGCCAGTGGGTTAGCTCCAGCAGATAGGGGTGGTGTAGGGCACACTTCTCAGGTAATTTGGACTTTCATATAGCCCTTAGGCCACATAGGTCCCTGAGTGGTACAACTAGTTAATGAGCTCAGCTGCTAACCTAAAGGCAGGAGGTTCAAGTCCCTTTGCAGGCTCTTTGGAAGAGAGGCCCGATGCTCCAGCGCTGTAAAAGCAGCCACTGGAAACCCTCGCAGGGCATGAAAAAAGGCCACACGTTAGTGATCACCCAGGATCGAAGTCCTCTTCGATCAACCTCACCAGTCTGGGTCTGGTTTTACCAGCCTTGCTCACTTCTCTGTGTCCTCTGTGGGCGTGAGCCTGCTCCGAGTTTGAGGCCCAACTCACTGACTGTGAGTTGTGACTGTGAAGCCAGAAGTCCAGGTGCTCCTCAGCACCTCCAGGCACAGGAAGGCCCTCCTGGTCTTACGTAAGCAGTAGTGAGTGCCGATTCCCAATAACCCATATCCTCTGCCTTTCTCCTTCCTTAGTCACAGATCCGAGGGAACAGCAGCAGGGGAAAGGTGGGGTGTCACGTGGAGAAGCAGTCAAAATAGGAACCACATGGAAGAAAAATTAATTCCCCCAGCCCACCCCTTCCCCCACTTTTCTTCTCATTCTTAATTCTTTTTTTTCTTCCCCCGTCAGGCTGAACATTTAAATGCACTCTATGCTCTCTGGATTCTCCCCATTCTCCCCACCTCTTCTCATTAAAATTCTAATTATTACCAGAACAAGTAAGATGCATGATCAAAGGAAAGCAAAGCCCTAGAAGTACCTTGTGTTTTAAGGTGACTCATATTGCAGAGAATGCTTTCAGAGCAGCTGCGACAGAGTGCAGATGTGAAGGGTCTAGAGAAGAGTAGGGACTTAGCATAAGGACAGGGAGAACTGTGATAGCTTTCCTGGTGGGCAAAGGCCTATTGAAACACTGTCCATGCCTTTGTGATCACGAACTCATAATAGAAAACGAAAAAAAATGAAGGGCCTCTGATAGATGTATGATGCGTCCTCAAATTATAAACAGGATCTAGGGAAGTGGCATGGCACAGCCAGGCTGGCTGGGCTGTACATCCCTGTCTCACCATTTATAGTGATGAAGGCAATTTATTTAACCCTCGATGCATCGGTCTTCCCATCTTTAAAATGGAGGTAATAATCGTACTTACTTTATTAGATTAAGTGAGTGAATGCATTCAACAGCAACAAACTTTTGACAAAGGCATGTTCAATAAATTGCCTAAATTCAGTCACTGTTGTTAGGGGCCACGGAGGCAATTTTAGCTCGTAACGTTGATCAACTAATATATTTACATTTCAGGATCCTATTTGTAAGATACTATATGAAAATTAAGATAGTCAGAATTTTCCCACCTGCTTTGTGTTCCCTTCCCTGGGTTGCAGGCAAACCACACTGGAGACTTTCAGTCTTGAGGT